AGGAGCGAAGGAGAACATTTCCCTACGCTCTATTTCTTGGTTGTGATTCATGGACAAATCAAGGTTCAACAATATGTTTGAATAAACTTTAAGTAATATTCAGATTATATAATGACAAAATTTAGGTCCTTGAATAACTAATATTCAAATCTTATTGAATCTTATTTGAATAATATTTGGATCTTGTTTGAGTCAAGTTGAATATGATTTAAATGTTAATTGAAAAAATTCTAAACCAGGCTTGAAACTGTTTCAATCATGAAAATTGTTCAAATTATGTTTGGATTATTTGGCTTAAGTGAGGTATAAATTTTAATCAGATCATTTTCAAATGATATTTGGCTAAAATAAGATCCATTATTGAATCATAATCAAACCATGCTCAATCTCAATTCATGCTCAAACTATTTTTGTTCCAACAATGTTTAAATATTAGATCAAACAAGATTTGAGTTTCCTTTCAACATGATTGGAGTATAATCCATGCATAGTTCAAGCATAGCTAATTGAACATAAATCAAATAATATCTAAGTAATATTCAAATATTATTTCAATAATATATGAAAAAGTTTCAAATAATGTTTGAAGATCATTTGAATTATATTTGAACATTAATTATATATAATCTTAGTAGTTACAACACTGACAACAAAATAATAAATTATAAAAAGATTAAACATAACACCACAATAATTATAATACAGTTACAATGCATCAATTTGCATGTGGTTCAACACAATATCACAATAGTCACAGTAAAATTATAATATAAAAATTATAACACAATTATAAGAGCATTTTACATGCATACCAACTAATTTCTATGCATTTGCATATATAATATCTAAATTTTATTTTTCCACAATTATATCATCCAAATCTTTGATATAACACCTAAAATATAACTACTTTAATTTAAAAAAAATGAAATACAATTTTCCTATATAATCAATCGTATATGTAAAAAATTAAAATTTAAGTGTGTGTTAGTCATGTTTAACTCGTTGCAAAAAAATTTCTTCGAGAAATTTCTACTAAGTCAGAAAAATATTCAGAAAACTTATTTCATACGGATACCATATGCAGAAATACATGTGGTGTCCGATCTCCACCGTCGATCACCACAAAAATATAATTCGGTGGGCCTCACTTTTAATTTTTTTTTTATTTTTTTAAAGTTTGATCACGGTGATGGATGATGAAGATCAGTGTACTTACGAAATAATTTCTCAAACATTCATTCAAATTTTCTAAGGAAATGATCAGCACGGCAGTAAATAATTTTTTTTTAATGAGAATGAGCTAAATTCTAGTTTTCGAAGGCTTCCGTTCTTTGGGAGACCGGAGCCCGGCCCGGGGGGCCCCCCGCCATCCAGCCTCCATTCGCTTGCTGTACACCTCAAAGGGGCGAGAGCCCTTCAGAGAATCTCCGCCAGCCGCTCACCGGAGGCCCGGCCTTCATCTTACTCCTTACCGCCATGGAGGCGCTGACTGAACTCTGCGATCTTATTGCCCAGAACCCTGATCTCTTTGCCGACAAGCTAGCCTGGATTTGCAGCCGTTGCCCTTCGGCGGCAGCGCTTCAGCCACCGTCGGCGGGATTAGGATCGGTGCGCGTCACGCGTTCCCATCTCAATGCCCTCATCGCCCTTGCCCGCTTTCTGTCTAAATGCTCCGATGTCTCCGCCGCTGCCTCCAATGTCCGATCCACACTCTTCGAATTCCTCCGCGCCATCCCATCCGTTGCTTTTCGCCTCTCCTTCTGGCCACAGTCGTTCTCCCTTGACACCATTTCCGCCTTCTTCTCCGATCTTCTCCGTTATCTTTCCACCGCTGCCGATCTCTCCCCTGCCGTCGGTTCTGAGCTCTCTCTATTCTTTGGAAACACTGTCTTCTCCGCAGCGGCCTGCACCGGTGACGAGATAGCCATTGCCAGGGTTTTTCTCTCCGCCGTGGCGCAGAGTTGCCCTCCGATTGCGGCTGCGGACGGGGAAATGCTTGTGACATGCTTTCTTGAGCAGTTTGTTCCAGAGGATGATGGGCTTTCGTCGTCAGGGTCGGAGAATTCGATGTCCTGGGGATCGAGCACTCTGTCCAGGGGGAAGGTAATTGAGGATGATAGGGATGTAGTTGATGATGGTTCGAGCGAGATCTCGTCGGTGCAGAATGGTGGCAGTGTTGGTCGGAGGAGCAGCTCGGGTTCGAATGGCGGGGGTGGAGGAGGCGGGCCTGTGGCATTTCAGGTGGAGTCTTTGGAAGGGTTGGAGAAGCTGGAGATAGCGTTTAGATTGGTTCGGCAGGTTCTGGATAGGTCGGGTAGGATCAAGGCTGATCAGTTGGAACATTTTCATAAAGTTGCTGCCAAGCAGCTGAAGTCTTTGCCAGCTTTTCTCAAGGTTGTTGCGAGAATTTTTCGGATATGATTCCTCTATATGCTATTTGAAAGAAACCTGTTAAACTATTCCTTTTGTGTGATTGAGTTTATCATTTAAGATATTAAGCATTGATGTATTCTTAAAGATTGGCTTCTTAGATTATGTTCTACATTCCATTCATATCCATTGATCATCAATATATCTTTATAAACAAATAATCCAGTTATTTGAGTGATTGCTATCCGGTGGTCAGATATTTAAACACTTTAGAACGTATGAATAAGCCATATTTCATTGAATTCATGTTTTCTTTTCTTCTTCATTGTAGAAATTACAATTAATAAAATGTCTTTTGTTTTAGATTCAGTGCTATTGAATTAATCTACGCTTACTCTACTGTAGATCCGCAAGCGTGATTGGAAAGAACAGGGGCCGCAGTTGAAAGCTAGAATCAACAGAAAATTATCTTGTTGTCAAGCAGCAGCCGAGTTGCAAACGAAGGGTATACTTTCTTTAGATCCGGATGGGAAAGCCTCCAAAGATGCATTGCGGCGTACACTTGCACTTCTCTTGGATGCTGCAGAAGCTTGCATAATCTCTTCATGGAGAAAGTTGAAAATCTGTGAGGATCTTTTCAGCACTCTACTTTATGGAATTAGCCAAATAACTGTTTCTCGTGGGGGCCAGTTACTCCGAGTCTTACTTATTCCTCTGAAACCTCTGGTACTTACGACATGTGCTCAGGTATAACTCAATGCAAATTTTTATTAGATTCTTGTGCTAGTTAAGGGCTTGATGGAAACACATTTTTATTTTCTACTGATTTGATGTTTCACTCGGAGGAGGCTGATATGCTAGGTAACAACCCTGGGGCAATGTTTGTGGCTGTCACGAAACTAAGTTGCGAGATAGTAGAATTTGGTTGGGGCAAGGACAGGGCTCTTGTTGATACCTTCATCATGGGTTTGGCTGCTTGCATTCGAGAAAGGAATGACTACGAGGAGCAGGTTTGTTTGCAACTTTTGTGCCATAGAAAAGGGTTTTTACTTCACATAATTTTTGATTCAGAAAGAAGCTTCGTTTTGTATAGCATGAGTGACTTATTTTATCTTCCCCTTAGTATCACAAAAAAGGCTTTTCTGCATTGAATTTAAGTGTTTTGACTAGAGTTTTTTTGTTAAGAAAGGCAGAGATAGAACTAGGAAAACCTGGGCTTATTGTATAAAAAATGATCTTAATTTATTAGAACTAAATGAAAATATTAAATGTATTAGAACTAAATGAAAATATGGCACTAAATAGGATGCAATGGAGAAAAAGGATTCATGTAGCTGACCCCATGTAGTGGGATTAAGGCTTTGTTGTTGTTTTTGTTGACTTGAGTTTTATGCTAATATTGAAGCAACAAAGATTTATGAAGTAATTTTTTTCCTAATCTTGTATGTCTAGATGATAGGTTAAGCAGAACCATACCTATTTTCCATTAAAATTTTGAAGTAGCATGCTAGTGACTCGCATCACTTGAAAGAACATGTAATAAAACTACATATGATCAAAAGAATAATCAGAAATTGAACCTTTGCATCCGTGGTGTAAATAGAAGCTGCAACATCCACCATTCCACACCACTTTCCTTGATGTGCAATACTGATGAATGTGTATACTTACCAATTGGATTTCTTAAGGAAGGCAAAAGTAAAGCATAATAGATGCAAATCTATTATGGAGGGGAAGCTCTTGAGAAAGACAATCCATCTTCTCTGGACTAACATACCTAGCCTTTGAGATGAGGACATGCCCACTTATCCAATTTAATGCTACGTAACAATTTTCAATAAACCTATTACCCTTGACACTTAATTTGCAAGTTTAATTAACTGCCCAATCAGCTACTACGTTCCATTCATGCCAAACATGTCCAATCTTTAAATGAAAGTGATAATGTAATTTCCTATGTTTCATAGTTAGATATAATGAGAGCTACGTACCTCTTCATTTTTTCTAAATACTAGGTTTTATGTGCCTATGTTTTCACTTCTATCCATGGCTTATCAATGGCGAAGGATTAAAAAATCTCCAAGCCATGGTCCAAAGCAATGAGTTCAACACAATAAGACTAGTTCACTTCTTGGTAACCTATGAAGGCCAAGATACTTTAACCCTATGATTTCTAAAAAAATTTACCACCATCAGCATCCTGTTCCCTTTAGCACAACCATCAACATTTTGTTTAACCTTCACCTGACAGGTTTGCACCGTTTCAGTACATTTATCATTAGCCTATCCACTCAAATCTCCTTCATCTAGAGTATCAGGGGCTTGAAAGAGTTTTAATATTGAAGCCCAGACCCCCTTCATAGATGATCTATCAACTTCTTCAATCTTTTGAAACCTAAACCTCCTTTTAGAGGAAAGAAGCCCTTTCCATTGGAAACTGTGAATTCTATGTTGAGAATCAAAGCTACTTGAATGACACCTACCAAATATCCTCTTCACTTTTTATTACATTTACTAGAGGCTCCAGAGCCTGTAACGAATACATTGGCTTAGCATATATAATAAACTTCTAAAAATTGTAATGCGATCAACAAAAGGACAAGTTTGTGCTCCCACGTAGAGATTTTGCCCTCGATATTATTTAAGAGATCATCATGTTTTGGAGAGAGGAAGTCCTAAAACCATTAATGGAAATGCTGATTTGGAAACCCAATAATCCCATGTAGATTTTGGGGATGGTACGGGCTTATAGGCCCCTTAAAACTCTTAGATTTGTTAATTATATAATGTGATTATGATTCATATTAATCTAAGAACTTGATAAGCCGTATAGCTGAATTCTTGATGCCTTTACAAGAAAACATTAGCTTCATCATGGAATGGGAAACATCCAACTGACATCTAGAATAATACTTAATAGAAGAATATTTACAAAGTAGCTGAAAAGTCCAATTGCTAAATACTTTGTCACAAATATTAAGAAACCCGGAGAAAATAATCCCCTTGCCTTAAACCATTTTCAGATTTTAAAGAAACCTTAACATTCACCATTAACTAATACAAAAAATCAACAATTAGAAATACTATAATGCAACAAAGTTCATTTTCCATTAAGTCCAATTTTCTTCAATATCTAAGTAAAATGTCCCATTACAATTTCTCTTAAGTTCTTGATAGATCTCAATCTTGGCAGTAAAAAATCTATTTAATTTGCTACAATTCTTGTTGCCATTTTACTTACCGTTGTTATTTTATTGGCATATGCAAATGAAAGCATGTTTATTAAAGCTATATTCAGTAAATGATATAGAAATTGGTATGGCTGTCTGATGAATGCTTTGTAATATAATAGGTTTTCTTGAAATTTTTTTTCCTTGGGAGTATGACTTTATATTTGCTTTTCAGGATGGGAAAGAAAAACATGCAATTCCTGCGATTCAGCATAATCTTATACGGTTGCTGGCTGACTTGAGTGTAACTGTCAATAAATGGGAAGTCGTTGATATGATATTGCCTTTGTTCATTGAAAGTTTAGAAGAGGGTGATGCTTCATCTCCATGCTTACTGCGTCTTCGAGTATGGAACCTTGTCTTCTCACAATGTACATGCTTTTACATTGATTTTTTATTTGTTGGTATATGTTTTTATTTTTGATTTTTGACTTGTTTTGGACCCAGCAAACTTTTGGTATTTGATTTGCATTTTTGATTAACTTTTATATTTTTCAAAAAAAAAAAGCTACTGGATGCAGTATCTCACATAGCCTGCTTGGGTTTTGAGAAATCTTATCGGGAAACGGTTGTCTTGATGACACGGAGCTATTTGGATAAGGTTAAAAATGTTGGAAATTCAGAAATCAACTCACCTTCAGAAGCTGCCACTGAGAGGGCAGAGGTGTGTAGCAGATTACCTTAGCGATTGATTGAAGTTATAATATTTTTCAATGCTTAAATTCAAATGATGCTTATGCATAGTAATTTCTGCACAGACTCTCCCAGCTGGGTTTCTTTTGGTTGCTTCTCGTTTGACTAGTACAAAGCTAAGGGTAGACTATCGCCACCGTCTTTTGTCTTTGTGCTCTGATGTTGGACTAGCTTGTGAATCAAATAGTGGGAGGTAGTGTATATAATCTATTGATGCACTAATGCTCCTGATGTTCTGCAAAAGCTCAATATTCCTATAGTACAGAGACACAATCTTGCTCTCTTCTTTGTTGTTGTTCTAACACTTACATATAAATTGCACTACGATGTAACCCTATAAATAAAATGCAGTTCTATTTTGCATTAGTGCGTAGTATATAATGGTTCCTATATGTTATTCATCTTGGCTAAAAGACTATTGTAAATCACAATTTTCATGCTACTTCTTCTTGTTGGTATCCTCACTTTTTTTTTGAATTTCTATAGGAGTGGTGCTGATTTTTTGGGTCCACTACTTTCTGCTGTTGCAGAAATTTGCTCTGATTTTGACCCAGCTACCAGCATTGAGCCTTCACTTCTTAAATTGTTTCGCAACCTTTGGTTCTATATTGTTTTATTTGGGCTAGCTTCTCCAGGGCAGAAAAATCAATTTTCAACAAAAGGAATGCCCAACTCAATTAGTATTGTGGGGAGCGCAGCGGCAAGCCCACTTCATGCCATGACTGGATCATACACGTCGATTGGCCAGTGGTTTGGAGCTGTTCAACGCATAGCGCAGAGAACACCACCTTTGGTAGGTTCACAGGTCTGATTCAGCTGATCAATTGTAATATAATTTTGATGACTTCTGATGAGAAGATTATGAAGTCATATTTTAGGTTGTAAATTATGTGGGTTTGGGTTCAGGTAAAAATATATTGTCAGTATCTTTAAATAGAAAATTTGAGAGAGATCGGCGATGTTGTCTGCTTCATATTTAACATACATTCATTGAGAAAAAATTTCGAAGTAGTGAACCAAATTAATTGTAAACCTATAAAAAGTAAAATTTTCTATTAGGTTGAGTGGGCTGTTTTACTTGTACCCTTATTGTTTGTGGAAGGTATATTATGCAACCTACCAAAGAAGTAATCTATCGTTAAGCTTTATCTTAACCTTCTTCAATAGGTTGTGAGCTCAGTCAAGTGGCTTGAAGATGAGTTAGAGTTGAATGCCCTACACAACGCAGGTGGCCGAAGAGGCAGTAGCAATGAGAAAGCTGCAGTTGGGCAGAAAAGTGTTCTTTCTGCTGCCTTAGGATGCCGTGTTGAGGTAGCAGCAATGACTACAATTTCAGGTTCTATTTTGCTTTTGGCGGACATGATTTATTTTATTCTTGGTCCATTTGCTTCTAGTTATCTAAGGAATTCAAAAGAACTTATAAAATTTACCTCTAAAAAAATGTTCCATATTTTGACTATCATTAACATAAAATGTTATCTAAGGAATTCAAAAGAACTTATAAAATTTACGTCTAAAAAAATGTTCCATATTTTGACTACTTTTTTCTCAGCAGTATCATTAACATAAAATCCCTCTCCCTACTGGCAGGTGTAAAGGCTACCTATTTATTGGCTGTTACAGTTTTGGAGACCATACGTTTTAGCTGTAATGGTGGCATTCTTCCTGCTAGTTCCACATCAAACACGTCAATAAGTGCTTTCAGCTGTGTTTTTGATTATCTACTCACGCCAAACCTGATGCCGGCTGTCTTCCAATGCTTGAAAGCAATTGTCTACAGTGCTGCTGATGTAGCAGTGGCATGGCTGGTAGTTTTTATTATTGCTTCAGTTCCTTGCATTCTCATGTTTCATTTTTTTTCCTTGCAACTTAAATTTTCTAGAAGTTTTGAAAACAGTAATTTAGAATGCTTCAAATCGTTTTTATAGAATCACCAATCTTTAACATTTCATAGTGTTTATCGATATTTAGATTTATCTTATCGTTCTTACTTGTTGAGATGGATCCATTCCCCATTTGAAATAAATAGTTCAGCCACCTACTTTTACTAAACAACTCTCTGTAGTACTCATTGATTACATGCATTTGTTGTGGAAATTCTGCAAAACGTTTAATTATTTATGCTCTTTTTAATTAGTGTAAGATATAATATTTTATTTCCCCCCCCTTTTGATTGGCTTTGCTTATTTTACTTTCTCTAATCATGGGATCATTTATTATAACCATTCATGTATGGGTGGTTTAATCTCATGTCTCTCTTTTTTTCGTTGTATGTAAGTTTGCTATAAGTTAATTCGTTTTTCACATAATTGAAAGCAATTTGTATTTAAGCTATCATACTCATTTGCCCTATGCTAATTGTGTTTTTTTATTGTAATTGTTTCAAATCTTATTTGTACTTATCATTTATGTAAGGTTGTGTTTCTTGCCTAACTCACTTTACACATTTGATTTTCATTATAATCATTTTAGTGTATATTTGCATTGTTTCCAGTGAGAATTGTTTTATGCTATTGGCGTTGCATATCAATATATGATCGGGTCTAGTTTTAATAATAAAAAATATCTACTAACTTTTGGGGTATCATTTTAGTTTATTCATTGATCGAAACTTCCATTGACCAACTTTACTTTCGTCACTTTAGTCATATTTGATGGAGTCATCTTTCAGTCCGAAGATGTTCATATTTATTTATCAATTTCCATTGTCTTCTCTTGTATGTTGTTTTCACAGTTTGATCAGTGGATCCATTTTTGCTTTAATTCCTTTATGAGTCATGGCCTCTTTAGGTTCAGAAAACTGGTATAATGATCTATACCTTTTTGGGAAGGTTGATCCCTTAATTTCAGGATTTTATTGATTCAGAATCAGAAACGTAGGAATTATGGACAGCATTGAAGTGTTTCAACTAAAATGTGATAACAAAATTCAAGTCATTTGTTGTTTCACATGGTGGAATGAAGTGTGCCTTTGTAGAAATTATAATTTTGAAATATGTTTATCGACTTTTTTTTGCTAGTTATCAATAGACAGTTAGACACGCATCCTCGCAGTTCTATTAGTTTAGTCCGTGCACTCTTTTTTTTTTTTTGATTTTGTTTAATCTGTGGAACCGGGCAACGTGGTTCCTGGCAGTTGGCTGTCCAGACGTAATATTTTTTCTTGTGACTGGGCTTTCCAGAAAATTGCTTCGTTTTGCAAGCCACGGTGCTACCTCCGCAGCCACCAACTACTGTTTCCCTGCTACAATTACTTTCTGGAGAAAAAAGTTAGTAACTTGATATCAATGGTGACAGAATACTGGGCTCTGTTAAGTACGACTCTTTGCCTCTCAAGAACAGGGTAATCCTCCCCAAACCAGAATAAACCTGTAATATGATTCTCAAAAAACGGAAAACTAATAAGAAGGAATAAGTTTTAAATCGGCTTGCCCTTATTAAATTTACAAACTCTTTTTTACATATCTATCTAGCTCAAAGTAATAGAGAAAAGGTCCTAATCAAAAGAAAATTGTTCATAAATAGGACCCTACTACAAATCACTGTCACTTTCCCAGCTGCCAGAAATTTGAAATGGATGAGGCATTCCCAATTGGTGCATGTTTGCTAGCTATGTGAGTAGAAACTACAGTTTCTTTAAAAAATTGAACCTCCCAGAAAGGTGAGAAATCAAGAGGCTTACTTGTTTGTTACTAACAAGTGCACAAGAAAAATTTCATAATGATGGATTTGTCAACATAGGCGTGGGTTCCGAAAATTCAAATACCCCGTACTTCTGTTGTGTTGATATTGAAAGTTTTGTCGGGTCAAATTTTCAAGAAGCAGATTGGATTGTAAATAAGACATTACCCAAACAGTTCACCCTTATTTTGCGAGAACATTTGGATATGAGTTAACATAACAGGAGTTCATTTTCAATTGAAGGTAGTCATTAAATATTGATATTCAACATATAATAGTAGCAGATTTAGGATTTGGATTATAAAATTTTTTACCTTAAGCTTAAAGTGAATCGTAAGGGAAATGATGACAAACTCGATTGAGATCTTATGGTTTTCTCGTCCCAGGTTATTGTAGTCCTTGATCTATTTAGTCAGAGGAGGCAGTTGACCCAACTTGAATAAAAAATTATTGCCAACAACTATAAGCTGCGTCGTCTAAAGGATTTTTGTAGATCCAGGGTCGATATTTGTTTAAGGGGACAAATTTAAATCGATCTTACTTAACAGAAGCCTTTATGTCAATCAATTGCACCTTTATAGTTTACAACTCAAATGACAAAAAGTTGTTGGGGAACGTACGAATTATGATCGTGATCATAATGTCATAGTGTCATGTGGCGGCAACCACCCTGCAGATGATTTTGATCGTAACCGCAAATTTTTGGGAGACTTCAAATGACAAAAAGTTGTTGGGGAACGTACGAATTATGATCGTGATCATAATGTAATAGTGTCATGTGGCGGCAACCACCCTGCAGATGACTTTGATTGTAACCACAACTTTTTGGGAGCCTTTGGGCCAAATTATGTGGACAAAAGATTCGGGCCATGTCTTTTTGGCGTGAGATTTCATCGAGTGTAAATATAGTAATACACTCGATATGACTTTCATTATTTGTGAGTTGAAGTCGATCAAAAGATTGTCATCCCTAACAAACTATTGTGGAGAGTGAATGATATTTGCTTTAAGTCTCTATGTGATTTAATTTTAAATGAATACTTTAGTTTGTTGATTTGAAAATTTGATTTGAAAATCTTAATTAAAAAAGTGACCCCTTTGGTTGAGATTTTTGGTCAATATGACCATCGTGGGGGATTTGGACCTTTAAAATATTTATGTTTAAGATTCATTTAAAATTTGTCAGTTTAATGTCTTCAGAATGGTAGTCCTATCAACTATTGCCCTTGCAAGGAGGAGGATCAAATTAAGTGATTTGGACTTGCAAATTCATTTGTTTATGATTTGGACATTATTGAATTAATTTAAATTGTCAACTCTAGTCCTTAAGAAGAGGAAGATTGGACTAGTTGAATTAGATTTATAATTCTGTCCTATAGACAAGACGACTCAATTGAGGGTGTATATAATATTGTATTGAGTTTGATTTGACAATAAAAATTTTATAATGTTAAAATACATGCGAACTTTTTGAAAAGGAAATTTGTATGCTTTAAAAACAGGAGTAAATTGTGTGAAAATTTCATTTAAACTCGTGAATTATTATCAAACCATTTAAATTTAAATACTTATTTCATTTTGGTGGAGTACATGCAAGTATTTAAAATTTAAATTTAATTCGGCATGCACAATGTTATAAGACTTTATAGTTGAAAATATAACAACTAGATCGAAGCACATGTTGACGTTTTAAATTTCATATATTTGAATAGCTCAAAAATTTTTACAAGCTTTAAAGATTTGCATGACTTTTAAATTATGAATTTGATGTGAATTTTATTTAAGAAAGACATGCAAGATTTTGAAATTGTGCATAGTTGACTTATTTCCTTAAACGTCTTAAAGCATTTATTGCTCCAGAGTATCCAACTTACCATTCATATGTCTTAGAAATACTATTTCAAAACATTGCATTGAACTTAAGAGATAGTTCTAAAGTTTGTATAAACCTTGAAATCCATCAGAACTTTGAAGTGTTTGTAATATTATGATTTTGAATATCATAAAATTCCACTTTGGGCTTTAAAAGCAATTGCCTTGAACATACGTTGTGAATCCAGTGATGAAATATGATATTTCATGTTTGGACTAAATTGCAAGCCATCATAATTTATACTTTAAATAATTTGAAAGTCCGCTTAATCGATATGTTAGAATTATTTACAAGTCTCCATTAACCCAAACTTGAATTGAATTTTAGACCCATGATACTAAGTTTGAAAAACTCAATTTCAACTTAATTTTGAAGGCCCTAGGAGCCTAAATTTGAAAATTTTCAATTTTAAATTAATTTTCAAACCCTATGGGCCTAAGTTTTAAAAAGACAAATTTTTAATTTGATCTTAAATCCTAAGAGCCTAAGAGTGGAAAGCGCAAATTTTAAATATTTTTGCAAATCAAAATAATATAAAATTGAATAATTTGCAGATTTTGTTGGCCCACATTTCAAGCCATTTTACTAAGATGCTTCAAATTTTAAAATTATTTGCAATTCCAAATGCACATAAAATTTTGGCAGCCTCATGGCGCCTAACTCCATTTCGGGGACATCAGGAGAATGCCAATCTGCCTAGCTGTCTATGAGGCACGTTGGTTAGCGAGGAACAAAATAAAGTCTTTAACCATGGTCCATAAGACGCTATGGGCCTTCAGTGTACATGTAAAAAGATAATCATAAACACAAATTATCTTGAATGTGTACTTTACTTTCTATGAATAATACTTAATTTTCTGAATATGCACTCGCGTTTCACATCTTATAAAAATAAAACCCTTGACATCTTATAAAATGTTTCCAGACAAGCTTCCTTGCATGGACAAGTACTCAAGCTTCCTTGCATGGACAGGTACTCAAGCTTCCTTGCATGGACATTCTCCCATCCCATTTTCTAACTTTTCAAGTGAAACCGACGTTTCAAGTGGAACCGACAGTGTCGATGACGATGAAATGATTTGATCAGCGATCGATGGTGGAACAAAACAAAACACAAATATTTTCTTTTTATGATTTTTTTCTTTTTTTGTGACAATATACAATATTAACCACTAATAATAAATCAGGGAAGGTTTTCAGGCTCAGACTAGGGTTTTAGGGTCGGGCTGGGTTCAGCTCGGGTTCGGATGAGTGAGCGATGTGCGAGACAGAGGGGTCGAAGGCTTCTTTGTCCTACGAAGTAGAAGAGGTGGAGGGAGTGATAGAGCCTGTATCACATAA